AGTTTCTCTTGGCCGGAATGTCAAGTTACAGCCCTAAAATGGGGGTGTTGTAGGTGTTTTAGGTTCTAAAATTTAGAAGATGACTGGGCCGGAGGGAGGGAGGGAGGGAGGGAGGGAGGGAGGGAGGGAGGGAGGGAAGGAGGGGAGGCCACCGGAGGGCTTGAAGTTAGGCGATGGCATTCATTTCTTTGGTCCCTGGAACAAAGCCTTTGCTGTTAGGAATGGCTTGGGGGGTGGGGGGTGGAAATCCGGAATGTTTCTCTTAATGGAGGTTTTTTTTTCTCTGTAGACACAGTCAATAACAGGCTAAATCAGAAGTAACAGATTCAGCACTCTGCCTGTTGGAAGTGTAGCCAGGGCGTCCTCCCAGCCTCCCTCTCCCCCCACCCCCTTTTTTTGCAGAGGAGACCGGCTTGCAAACCTTATTTAATCACAGTGAGTCCTGGGATCCCACCTCGCTTAATTCTGCCTGAATCAGCGAGGCTTAAAAATAATGCCTTCAGATGAGGCCGATGGGAGGGCCTCGAGAAGGCCCCCCCCCTCCCAAGTGCTGGGCAAGAGAAACATGTTCATCATGTTTTGAAAATACACCATTAATAATGTTAATGGAATGATTGCAACCAAAAAGGAAGCGGGCTGTTTCTTAAGGGAACATGGGGATAGTCCCGGAGCTCCGTGCCCAGGGCCGTCAGAAAGGCCTGACTGTGTGGAGAGTTCTGTGTCTTTTCCCCGCTGCAGAGTCAGCTAAATATCATTAACGTGCAGATGCCGGAAAGCTGAGCAGATAGGAATTGCTCCGAGACGGGCACAGCCTTTCTCTGCTTCCTTTTCGTCTCCAGTGTGTCATCCCAAAGCTCTTTCCGCAGCTGCTCAGGAGCCGGCTGGAGCTCAGGGACTGAGCAGATTAGAGGGACGGGATTCGGTCATTTTATTAAACTGCAGGCTCGCTCCACGTGGCCCTCGAAGCCCAAGAACGTTAACATCTCGCCCTGACCGGTTTGGCTCAGTGGATAGAGCATCAGCCTGTGGACTGAAGGGTCCCAGGTTCAATTCCGGTCAAGGGCATGTATCTTGGTTGCGGGCACATCCCCAGGAGGAGGTGTGCAGGAGGCAGCTGATCGATGTTTCTCTCTCATCGGTGTTTCTACCTCTCTATCCCTCTCCCTTCCTCTGTGTAAAAAATCAATAAAATATATATATTTTTAAAAAGAACGTTAACGTCTCAGATATGAGAAGGTGGAACTCCTGGAACTCAGCGCAGGTCTGTCTGACGTGAAGCAGGTCCAGTCTGCATCCTGGAAGGGCGGCCCCTGTGAGCTTGGATTTATGAGAGCGAGATTTGCAAGTAGTTAACTTCTGCGAGGAGTCACCGTGGACTCATTTAAATAATGCCCTTTCCAGGGTGTTTACCAAAACCTGGCCCGTTTATGGTTTTATTGCCCAGAGATGCCCACAGACTTTGGTTTTTAACACGCATCTACTTTTGCTACTGAAGAGTGGCATGAGAATGGGTATGTGACAGGAAGTTACCGATTTAACAGAAATACGTACATGAAAGTTTGCAGTCCCTCAGTCCTGTGTTCAAACGAGTGAGTCCTGAATTAGTCAACTAATTTTAAACGGAATAACCTTTGGGGACCTGGCATTTCCAGTAGGCTCGGCCTGCTAAAGCTCGGTGTACAACTGAATGCTCTTTTTTATCTCTTTAGCATGCACACCTGCAGCTGGGCCCCGAGTAGCTGCGGGGTCCCTCCCCGATGCTATGGCTTTCACAGCTGTTGTATGTATCCCTCACCCCTGCTTTCTACGCGAGGGAACAGGCGCAGCGAGGTCCCTCTGCTCCCGGTTACAGAGCTGGCGAGTTGAAGAGCTGGAATTTGAACTGGGCTCCGGGCTGTTTTCAGAAACAGATGCTGCTTTCTGTTCCTATGTGAGGCTGGGTTCTCTGAATTACTCCTTAGTCAGCTAGACCTGGGTTCACGTTCAGAGTCCACCGCTTGCCAGGTGTGTGAACTCCGGTGAGCTATCTAAGGTTCTGCATTGGTGAGGGTGTAATGAGCGAATACACGGCACAGTGCCTGGCAGACGGCTGGTTTAACGAGCGCTAAATGCTTAACAGGTTGTGGTTAAGCCACAGAACCCAGGGAAGACCATGGGCCCCAGAATGAGATTTGCATGAGGGAAGGTGGGACAAGTGAAATGGCTAAACGAGTAAGTGAATGAAAAGCTACTCTATTAAACCCATGTCTATTTTGTTTTTATTAAACCCATGTTTATTTTTGTTGTTGTTAAACCCATGTTTATTTTTTTTAAGCCGTTCTCTTGGCAACAGGTCAGCACATAGCCGTGTTTTAGATTTTTCAGTGGATCACTTTCTCTGGGTGAAATCATTATTTTGCACATTTTAGTGTGAAGTCCGGTGCCGCCCTATGGAATACAGCCTGTGTTTTTGGAAATAACGGGAAAAAAATAAGTAGTGATGGCATAAATCTGTAAAGCCAGCTCTCTCCCCCCCTTTTTTTGGGGGGGAGGCAAGTTATTTCTGTCTCAGTTTCTTTGAGTCTCTGGGTACTTTGAAATTGTCTCAAAATAGGGAAAAATGTATCCTACTTGGAAATCCCGTGTGTACAGGTAAACGCGCCTTCAGAGCACCCTGCATCCTGCCTTGCCCGTTTGGCTTTGTAGTTTTAAACGTCAACTTGATGCTGCAGAAGAAGTAAAATTTAATCTCCTTCCCTCCGGGGCCATCATTCTCTACCCTGTTGTCCTTGGTTACCTTGGAGACCTCAGTGCTGTCACAGCCCAGGGTTCTAAGTGCAGGGGTGGGGTGAGCATCTGGGATGCTTGTCTGGGCTGCCCAGACCCCCAGGGACCTTGCTGTCCTACCCAGCAGTCAGGGTGGGAACCCGGCCTCCGGGCTTTTCAGGCAAGAATGCGATTCTGGCTCAGCCAGCGTGGCTCAGTGGTTGAGTGTCGACCTTTGAACCAGAAGGTCATGGGTTCGATTCCCAGTCAGGGCACGTGCCCAGGTTTTGGACTTGATCTCCAGTGTGGAGCTTATAGGAGGCAGCCGATCCATGATTCCCTCTCATCATTGATGTTTCTCTCTCTCTCTCCCCCTCTCCCTTCGTGTCTGAGATAAAAAATACATATATTTAAAAAAGAAAAGAAAATGTGGTTCTGAATCTCAGCCCTCGTGACTTGTTTGACAAACAGCCCTTCCAGACGATCCCAGGCGAACAGGCTCCGCCTCTGTCGGCCGGAGGACGTCACCTTCTTGCCCGTGCGTTTGCCTGTTTGGAAGTGAGGTTCTGTGGGCAGACGGCCCCCCTAGGGTGCTGTCTGTGTTCTGAAATCTGGACTTACGTGTTCCGAAATGTTGGAGTCACTCACGGAAGAAAGGATCTTCTCTTAGTGCCCCCCCACCCCCACCCCCCCATTTCATTTCTCTCCTTTTTTGTGATTAACAGTAAGAAGCACCAGTGCTGCTCCTGGTGAGCGCAGACCCCGTCGTTCGTTCCGTGGGGACTCACTGAGTCCTGCTGAGCGAGGTGCCGGGATGGGCATGCCCGGGAGTGAGTTCCCTGTGAAAGAACCTGCTGCTCAGTGGGAGGGACACACGTCCTACAAACAAGCCAGTGCGATTAGCCTGGGCCCTGGCTGCCCGAGGGTCCAGCCACACCCTGGGAGGGAGTGGCCAGGCGCCCGGGGCTGGGGTTAGGAGGCCTGGGTGGCGGCGTGTGGTTGGCATGTGAAGCCAAGGGAGTCACCACATGCTTTAGTCATGAAGGTGCCTCCATAGGACCCTCCCTGCTGTAGGTCAATATTGATCCACTCCCGACGTGGTGGCCGGCTGGGCCTCTGGTTGGATTTTCCCAGCCACCCACTCCACAGAGGGGTTGCTCGGGCCAGGAGCTGGAAGCAGTGCCCGGTTCTCCTCCTGCACCCACATCTCTAGGCCCCGGTGCCTTGCTTCATGGAGCACAAGCGTGGCGAGCCCGCCCTGCCCCGCGTGGGGGCTGGGATGCACACGGAGTTTCTCAGTGGCACCGGCCACGTTCACGTACTCAGGAGCGCCCAAGCCGGTGTGGCTCAGTGGGTAGAGCGTGGCCTGCCGACAGAAGGGTCCCGGGTTCCATTCCGGTCAAGGGCACGCACCTCGGTCGCAGGCTTGATCCCGGGCCCTGGTCTGGTCAGGGCCCGGGTGGGAGGCAACCAACCTATGTGTCTCTCACATCGGTGCTTCTCTCTCTCTGCCTCTCCCCCTCCCTCCCACTCTCTCTAAACATCAATGGAACAGTAGCCTCCGGTGAGGATCGTCTAGTGCTGGCCACGTGCCTGTGGGATAGCGCAGGTCCCGGGCATCCCATCGCGCCGTGCACGGGGCTCAGACCTCGCCGTTCACAGCAGGGCCCACCCCGCGAGCCTGGCAGACAGCAGCGTCTCAGACCCACCTCAGGCCCCTGAGTCAGAGCCCATGGAGCAGGCACCTCAGGTACATTCTGTGCACATCAGGTACATTCTGTGCACATCAGGTACATTCTGTGCACATCAGGTACATTCTGTGCACATCAGGTACATTCTGTGCACATCGCAGTGGGAGAAGGTGTTCTGGGCTGGGAGCCTGGCTGCGCGGATCCCCTGGGGCGTCTGTAGGAGATGCGGCCCCGCCCTGAGATGCTGGCTTCAGTCGCTTGGGGCGGGGCCTGAGCTTTTTTTTTTTTTGGCAGCAAGAATTTAGGACTTTTCATTTGTCCCAAAGTTGCTGAGGCAAAGTCATGATAAAGCATCTGCTTTCCTTTATCCCCCCTCACGCATACAGGAAAACTGTTGGTGGGGGGAATGATTTGGTACGTGGGGAGAAGCAATGTAAATTCACAACTTACAGGTGAGGGTTCTCTGTGCCACTCGTCGCTTTAAAAAGTTTATATGGACCTCGCCGATTGGCTCCGTGGATAGAGTGTCAGCCTGTGAACTGAGGGGTCCCGGGTTTGAGTCCCAGGGAGGGCACAGGCCTGGATTGCGGGCTCGATCCCCAGCGCGGGGTGTGCAGGAGGCAGCCCATCAATGGTTCTCTCTCATTGTTGATGTTTCTCTCTCTCCCTCGCCCCTCCTCTCTGATATAATACAAATATGGTAAAGTTTAAAAAACCAGTTCATATGGAAATGCAGTCACAATCAGCAGGGGACCCCCTGGCCGTGCGCTCACAGTGGAGGTCAGGGGAGACCAGCCTGCAGAGCACGAGAGTTCTGGGGGCCAGCGGTCTGCCGTGATCCGGGAGGTTGCCCGTTTGAACCGATGCTGCTGTCCCTCGGCGTGTCGGAAGTGCCATCCGTCACCGCTGGGGTTTCCCCCCTCGTCTTTTCTCTCTGGCGTTTATCGGGCACTTCCTGTGTGCCGGGCACGCTTTGATTTCTTTAGATGCATCAACGATTAACTTGTTTAATTCTTACAAAAACACCGAAAGGTCCAGAGAGCCTGAGCCACTGAGGGGAGAGAGGAGCAGCTCCCGCCCGTGGCCTGGGCTCCGAGAACCACGATGCCACACGCCGTGCCCGGTCTCCTGAGTCACCCGACCAAGGGGACATCCCGGCCTCCGTCTCAGCGGGAGCGGGGCAGGCGGGGAAGGCAGGGACGCCTCCCCACGGGAGGGAGGGAAGGTTCGCAGGAAAACGCCTGCCTTTTCTAATCGCTGCAAACGCCCTTTCAATCAGATGGGAGGGGATCTGTGTGGGTTTTGCGGGAAGGCAGCCAGGAAGGCCAGGCGGGGGCCGGGCTGTCTGGGCACAGAGCACGGAGGAGGGGGACTGGCGGGAGCCGGGGTGCAAGGGAGGCCCTTGCTGGTTCACCTGGTCGGACCGTCAGCCTCCCGCCTCCTGACCACGCAGAACCTGCCCGGTCCGTTCC